ACACAAGTAAGTTTACGACATGCAGCTGTGTCTTAAAAAACGCACACAAGCAATTTTCCGATTTGCAATTGTGTCACAGTGATACCTTCATTTTTTAAAACGGTTGAATAAAAAACCCACACAACTATGTTTACGACATGCAAATGCATTACAGTGATGCCTTGGTTTTAAAAGGGTTGTAAAAACGCTAATTTCTAATATTTTTTTTAATTTCTTTTCTATTACTAAGTTAAATTCATTTTTTCATTTACATATGTTCTGACTAAATAAATTTCTAAAGAGAAAAATAAACTCCAAAAAGAAAAAACATAGGCATTTCGCTGATTTTTTCATGTAAAGGGCAAAACCGGCGATTTTTTGAAATGTTTGTATGGTGAACCCCCAGGGGGGTTCCAGGGGGTGTGCCACTGGCATCGGTGGGTCGGGCCTCCAAAGTTAGTGGGGGTCGGTCATACATTTGGACTCGATTGGAGCACTCTAAATGGGTCAAAGTGGGATTTTTCAAAATTTGCCCCTACCCAAAAGTTCGACCCAAATTGGGGGACATCAGAATTCGTTTTAGAGGTATGGTTCCTTCGGCAAAGTTTCTTATTTTGATCCCTAGAATATGATTTTCACAGAGCAATGGGCGATTTTTTTGCCTCCCCACAAATCGACCCGGCCTAATGTACACATTTAAGATGCATGCATATGAATTATGCGTGGCTTTTATTGTATCTCTGTATTTCCATAACTCCCTGTGTGAGGAAACCAAATAATAGTTGTGTTTTTTTTTAGTCATTTCCAGTAAAATCCAGTAAAAGTTTTAACGAATTTTCATATTTTGGCGTTTTCGTACGCAAAAACTTGCAAAGTAGGGGAAATTGAGAGAGCGAAAATGACAGCTAAAGTTGCAAGTTTTTATTGGATTTTTACTGGATAAATTTTTACTTGTAAGAATTTTCCAGTACGGAAAACAGCTGATCGGATGTTGCTGGATCCAATTTAAACTAATAAGGAAACTGTTTATGGGTTTCTGTTGTTGAAATTTACAAAATAAACCAATATAAATATAAAATATATTGTTTTATTAGGAATTTGCTGCTAATAAACAACAAATTGATCAACTGTTCATGAAACTTGCAAATTATTACTGGATTTGCGTTCGCGTACTTTTTTGTAAATTTTTTCTTTGAGAGCGAATTCTAAGAAATTAAGTTACTGGAGAGTTGCTGGCAAGTTGCTGGATAATTTGTAAACAATGACAACTAATGTAATTCATAACAGAAGTGCTTAAAACTTAACAGTTTGGCAATTTAAACACTGTTGAAGTTGATTTCCTTACTAGGGTCTGCAACTATACTTCTTATTTACTACCGCCGGCAGCTTTAAAAATTTTATAGAGGTTTTACGTTCTTTGGCAAATTACGCTCTGTTAGCCATACATTTTACTATGTTTTGACCGCCTTTGTATCAAGACCCCTGGACCATATAGGGAATTCATTTATATTTTAAATTGCATTGTCATCGTGATTGGAACTATTTCTAGTCTCTACCTTGTCGGGAAGTTAGTTTAAAATCTATAGGAAATTTCCGCGGGATGACCAAGTTAAATATAAGCTTGTAAAAATCACCAATATTTTTGCCTGTTTCACAGCGATCCAGTAGCGGATTTCAAAGTCATTGAGCACCCTGTATTGGTTACAGTAGAAAAATTAATGTTCGTAGCAGGGTTGTTGCGAATATTCGCATTCGCAACCGCGGAGCTTCCGCATTCATTTTGACATTCGCATTCGCAATAATGTGGGGCTTTTGCGAATGTATATTTGGCAAACAAAATGACAAATTTAAGCCAATATTTTTTGCCGCACAAAGGAGTATTTGTGTAACAAATCTGGTCAAAAGTCAGATTTATCAATTTTGACATAAGTGTCTTTAAAGTTTAAACCTATTATTTCTTAAGCTATTTAACCGAGCTATCAATGTCCACACAGTTGTCCTCAAGCATCGTTAAGTATTATTAAAATGTAGCCAAGTGCAACCTTCAGGAAGCCATTCCAAATTACTCCCAGATGTATAAATTTCAAGGTTTGAAATCGTAGCTGCTCGCCTTTTTCGATTGGGGCATATCTCAATGAAATTATGCCGAAGTCAGATAACTAGACTGAATATCAAATGCTGGATACAAGTTCGAGAATGAAAAATGTAGCCACAGGAAACATCCTGAAAGGGCTTTTCAATGCCCGAAAATAGGAATTCCAATGTCAAAAAATCATATATGATCGATTAATAATTTCTGATACATGAAATGATCTTTACAGTACACCTATACCACTTTTGACATCACCTAGGACTAACGACGTGGAGGAAGTGGTTATTTGGTCCCTCTTTTTTGTTTTTTTTTTTGTACATTTTATAAAAAAACGGGGGGCCTTTTAAAAAAGATAGCGCAAGCGCAAGATTCTGACTTTGAAAACAGAATTTTGTGCGAAATTTTCATTCCTGGAAAATAACAATTTATTTGCCATGTCCACCTTTTTAGCTTGCTATAAACACAAATTTTTCAAACCAGTCGCAGAAGAACGGATTAAAAGTGAATTGCAAGAACTAAAATCGAAAAATCTGATGGCGTTACAGCTTGTCCAAATTCTGAATTAGCCAAATTAATGAGAATGAAGAATTCTTTCGAAAAAGCTTTAAAAAAACCTGACACATCTGGTTTGGATTGTGAACCGTGTTTACACAACGATCTTGCAATGATACTAGATTCCTCAAGTGAAGATGAAAGGCAGGAGAATACATCCAACATTCTCAAGTTTTACATGAAGATTTTTGTCGCCTCGAGCGGGCATTTATTTAGAGGGGTAGGTTTTATTTACGACCCTTTAAACAACAGGCTGCAACCTGAAAAGACAGCAGCAATACTTTTTATTAAATATAATGTTCCAGTTTTTAAATTAAAGTACTCAATAAAATAAAAGTTATTAACTTTTGCATTTCTTTATTTACCCACATACATCACATAATTTACTTACCTAACTTATTTCTTAAAATTGCTTGACATCCGCATTCGCATTCGCATCCGCATCCGCGGATGTCTAAAATTCCACATTCGCAACATCCCTAGTTCGTAGGTATAGATATTACAAATATCAAAAGGAAAATACTGAGGGAGTGCCCCGTTTTCTAGGATGCAATTTTTTCCCCCACTCTAGTGTACTTGTTTTCAAATGTTCAGTTTGGTAAATATTTTAAAGTTATTGTTAAAATTAAACAATTTTATCGAGCTTCAGGCAAAATAAGCTGAATTCTCCACTTGAGCTTGGATATAAATTTCAATTCAAACATTTAGTCAAATCTTGGAAAAAATATTTCCCAAAGACTGGAAAAAAGTTGGAAAAATGTTTGCTTTGTGCATATTGGGATACGATTGTCTGCTGGGTGGCTATGTATGCATATGCACATATGTATATACATACAAATCACGATTGAGATTTGTATCATTCTTCCATACAAATGTAGGTACATGTCGTGCTTTGCTTTGAGCAATGGTGAATACACGCCATTGGCTCCATTCCTATAGTTGTTGTGAGTTTGGTAACTGCCAAATGATTGGTCTTTCATAATTAAAAGAAAACGTGCTACAACTTATACTAATTAATTATCGAGTTTAATCACTGTCAAAATATGTTGGGAGAATACATAAATTTTCAGTGAAAGCTCAATACAAGGTAGGTGTTTTGTTGAAATGTAGGCTGAGTTCCAAGTTGGTTTAATGCAAAGCATCAGCCTCTTTTATTTCTAAACTATAACTGATGTAAATGTCCAATATGCGCAACCATGTTCAAATGCCGAATTGCAACTTGAGTCTTACTATTTTTGGATTCATATGCACCTATGTAAGTGCGTCCATTTGTTTTTATGCATGTATATGTACAGTTGTCCACAAAATAATAGGAGTGCGATATTTTGACCAGTTTT